TAATGCCACTTCTGCCTAAAGCCCTTATAAGGGCTCAGATACTTCCCATCCTTTTGCCACGAGGATTTGTTGCAGGATGGTTACCTGGGTTACCACATTCTCCTTCTCGGCACACTTACCTGATCTCCGAATACTCTACTGTGTGAGTACAACAGGGGGAGTACCCTTACATGTATCTATGATGGAGACCAGGCAGAAAGGAGCCAATTCAAAACAGCAGGCAAACACTCATTCTGGCAAAGGCCCGCACAACACTCAACCTTAAAGTGACAATGCACCCCTTTTACCAGATTAAGAACCGATTCTAACTCTTTTAGGCACGCAACAAGTGACCTACTTGACAAAAGCAGAATTTTCTGCATCCATGTCACAATTTCTGGGACAGATTGTAGCCTTAATACAGCCGGTTTTGTCCAGGGCTCAGAAACGTTCCGCCTCTTCTCCTACTCCTGTTTTTCAACCAGAGTTTTACCCTGATATGCCAGTCTTAGAGGATGCAGAATCAGAAGGGAATGAAGAGGATGTTGAGGTAGTGTTGCAGAAAGCTGTGGGAGATTTTTCTCCCCCTTATTTTCTCTATATCGAACAGGGAGCTTCATGCAACATACTAAAGTTGAAAAGCTCATTGCCTCAATCTGCAGAAACCTTGGTATTGTGCAGACTGAGCCTTGGTCTCAGTTTAGGCTTATTTTCGCCTTCCCTCTAGTGCAAATGCTACCTCCTCTGCTCAAGAAAATAGAGCATGAGAGCAAAGCCTTGATTCTAATTGCACTCAACTGACCTAGAAGAACCTGGTATACAGACATACTCAGATCTTGCTTTGGGTACAAAGAGACCTACAACAACTTGCTAAACTTTCCGTGTTCATGAACAGATAGAATGTGCGGTCTATAGCAACTGGGTCACTCTGGAAAAAACCTAACTCTATCCACTGGATAAAGGGTTCACAAAGTAGTGGGCTATTCCTGTGGTTGGTCCTGCTGCTTTCCTTTTTGTACAGATGCCCTGAGACACATAAGACAAGTATCCAGAATGGTTCCAATTTCCATTCCTATTTCAGAATCTTATGGCTAAAGGCTTGGACAGCAATATCTGCCTGTAAAAGGCACCTCACATATGTGTCCTTCCAAGGAAGACGTCTAGTTGGTGAGACTTACTTTCTCAGAGGAATGTCCAAAAACCACACACTCCTCAGACGCCCCTAGCTACTCTAAACACAGAGCACCTGCATCTTCAACTTCAAAGTTTAGCCCTTCATTTCAGCACAATGCTTGGTCCACAAGGTCATCAAGCCTTCCCCCAAAGCCCATCCTTACAATGAAGGGGTGCCCTTACTCCTAGGAGTGGGGGATGCTTGTTACAGTTTGCTTCACTCTGGGTTACAGACATCCTAGATCTGTGGGTTCAGTTGGTGGTTTTAAAAGGGTATGAATAAAGTTCAAAACTCTTCCAACTCACTGCTTTCTTTTTTCTCATATCAATCAAAAACTGTCCCAAGAACAGTCATATTTGCAAAATGCCCTGAACCACTTCTTGTCCCAGGGAGTCATAGTAAACCGTATTGCCACAGGACAGGTTCAAGGGATTCTACTCAAATCTGTTCACAATACCAAGCCTAGTATACGGGTTTCGTCCTGGATACATTCCAGAAAAGAAAGTTCTTTCTCTAAGGTCTCATGCACCACAGCTGAGACCCAAGAGAAATCCCACAGTGAGATGCACTATGAGAGTTTTGGGTCTAATGGATGCCTCCTTTGAGGCAGTACCTTTTGCCCAATTCCACTCAAGAACTCTCCAACAAAATATTCTGTCAGCAGAATGGAAAAAGTAGGCTTCTCCCTGGACTTACCCATGCTCCTATCCAGCCAAGCAGAACTTTCTTTTCTTAGTAGATCTCCACTACAGGTCTAACAATGGGGAAATTATTTTCTTAATTACAACTGGAAAGTTCTTACAACAGACACATGTCTGTCAAGCTAATGAAGAGTTTTCCAATCTGACAGTTCAGGGAACATTTTAGAGGAAGCCAAGCTCCCCATCAATGTCTTAGAGCTCACAGTAGACAGGTTAGTCATGTACCCTATTCGGTTACAGTCAGACAATGCCACCACAGTGGCATATATCAGCCATCAAGGGGTCACAAGGAGGCTGACTGCTTTGAAGGAAGCAAATCAGATTATCTTTTGAACAGAAACTCACTATCCTGTGATTTCCACGATCCACATCCTAGGAGTGTATAACTGACAGGTGGGTTATCTCAGCCACCAATGACTGGACCAAAGCGAATGGCCTCTGCTTCTAGATGTGTTTCAATCCGATATGCCATAGATAGGGGACTCTGATTGTGGACATCTTAGTTCTGAGCTTGGATGTTTTAATTTTCCCCTGGTTTCAGTTTGGGCTAATTTATGCCTTTCTTTCACTGCTGCACAAAATAGAGCAAGAGAGAAAAATGGCAATTATATTAGACCAAACTGGTCCAGAAGAACCTGGTACACAGACCTACTCAAACTTCTAGTAGAGATTCCCTGGTCTCTTCCCAATGGGCCAGATCTGCTATCTCAATGTTCTCTATTAATGGACAGAGGGATTTCTGAGTCTGTAAATCCTTTTTTATGAATTTCTGTTTATTGATTTTGCATAGAAAAACAACAAAATACAAAAACAGCTGGCCTCACATGGCCAAAAAGTGCTCTTACTGTAAAGTTCCCCTCCCCCCCCCCCCCCCCCCCACCCCCCAACTCCAGTCAGTCCAAACATGTAAAAGATGCTAGCAAACCCAATGGGGTTTAAGGAGATGAACATATGATGCAATATTCCCCAAAAGACGTGACAGAAGCCAAAAACCATATACACCTGCACCTAAATACGTCCCGGGTTCTATGCTAGTCTGGGGACAAATCCAGGGATCATAACCAGGTCGTGAGAGCGCGAAACCCATGGCTATACAGGTACCTGACTACATACGGTAACAGACTAAGCATTGAAAGTTGTAAATAGAGCAAGGGGTCTCTGCCTCCAGGCAGTTGCAGAGGGAGTCCAGCCATGACTGCCAGACTTTCTCTAATTTTTTAGGACACCCTCTGCTCCTGTAAGTAGCTTTATAAAATGTTATCATTTTTCTCACTAGCCCTTTCCAATAGGCTAAGAAGGGTGCTGCTGGCTTTTTCCAGTACGGAACCAGTGCCTTTCGAGCATAGAATAATATGAGTGCAGGGTACGTTGAGCCCTAATAGGTGTAAGGCCCGGCACCAGCCCCAAAAGACAAACCCTACTTTGCTGAAAGCAAGAAAAGCCACCTACAGGAATCTATTCTCATACCTGGAAATCTTCCTTTGCCTGGTGTAAACACAGTCAATTCTTTTCCAGAGATAACTCTGTGCCTTACCTTCTGGCCTTCCTACAAACAGGTCTTGAACAAAATCCAGCAATCTTGCATTTTACACCCTAAGGGCAGGTATGGACCTTTTATCTATACTTTTTCAATGGCCCCTAGCTTTGTACTCCCTCTTGAAAACCTTTTTTCAAGGTTTTTCTCATGTTAGGCTTCCCTTGCAGCACCATCTGTTTTCCTGGGACCTTAATGTGGTTCATTCTGCCAAGCAGAAACCACACTTTGAACCCAGCATGTCTGTCAAACATGTATCTCAGCTGGCGGCCCTTTCCTGTATAGAACTTTTACACATTTCACAAAGACAAGGTTGTTGTATGCCAGAGACTTACAAAAGTGGTTTCAACATTCCATCTCGATGACACTGTCCTCCCACCTGCTCCTAAGCATTCAAATGAATTCCTTCTACATTGCCTGGATTTAGTCAGAGCAATGAGAGCATACATAAGTTACTGCTTTCATTAGACAGATTGCCTGTTTGATCATTACTGAGGCACCCTGCTTTAGACTCAAGCTGCTGCAGCCCAACTCTATAGAACCAAGACCTGGTCTTCTGTTCATACTTTCTCAATGTTTTACCAGGTGGATGTCCAATTGGATACCTGTGCAAGTTTTTCTGTGAGTCATTTTCATGGTATCTTGCAACTATTGATCTGTGTACTCTATTTTAAGCTATTAAATTTGTGACTGTTTTATCAAAACACCTGGCTTCTTTGGATCCTTTGGCACAAGAACACATTTACCAACTTGTTTGCAGGGACATGGCTCTCCTATCTTTGGTCTGTGTCACATTTCTCTCATACATGTTCATATGAACAGGGAGCACCCTAGCAGATCCAAAAGGTTATCAACTGTCTAGTGTGGTATCATCTGAGTGCCCCTTTCTTGTTGTTTTTTCTGTATTGTCTGTGGATGCAACTTTTGACCACAGAGTTCTTTCAACAGCACTTAATTTGGGTCCTTGACCCCGGTTGATTGTTGAACCTATTGGCACAGTTCTGTTTGCCTAGTTGTTGCCCGCTGTTTGTATTCACTGCTTGTGGACGTCCCCCAGTGAAGTTGCCTGTGTCCTGTACTTTATGATTAGGATAAGAGGAATTTCAACTTACCTGTAAATTCCATATCTTGGAATACAGTACAAGACACCCGCCCTAACTCGCCTTGTTTCCCCTGCATTGCTTGTTTCAAAACTGAGGACTCCTACAATAGGGTACGGTTCTAGCAGAGGCACCCTAGGGTGGCATGCTCTCAAAGCTTGCCAGTGTCCAGTCACCTGAAGGCATGAGCATATAACCCATGGAATTTTATGGGTAAGTCAAAATTCCTCTTTGTGTTTCTTTTAAAAAAGCTTTGTTGTTAAAATATACTCCAGTCAATGATGTAAGCAGCATAGCTTGAGTTGTCATAATGGTTAATGTTTTGACCTAATTAGCTGTATTTATTTTTATATAGTATTCTGTATATTGCCTTTTGATTGAGTGCATAGTTTACATTTGAGCTTTTTGGATGATACATGTGTCTTGTTTACACCCTCATATTGTATGTTATATTTTCTTTGTTCTCTTTCCATTGTGCATCTTCCCATTCATGATTCCATTGGTTTTGTTAGCCATCATCATTAGGGTCCATGGCTTTGACAGAGGGGGCTTTGAGTCAGCATGATCTCATCAGGGTTGTTTACAGTGATCTGCACCCCCAGAGGGAAACCTTTACAGCACAAAACAGGTAAGAGACTCTAGTTTGAAGAGGACTTGCTGAACTGATGGTTTCTTTAAGCTGGCCATAGACGGATTGATATTTGGACTATTTAGCAGGGATTGGCCAAATTTAGATTGATGTGTGGCTGTCTCTGCTTGACAGAAGTTGATCGTTTCCTTGACTTTTGTGACAGAGACATGCTGGAAAACGTATGTCTATCAGCGTCTGCAGCTGCTGATCAGTATATTCTGACAGCGGCAATTCCTGCTGTCAGCGTACAATGTCCTGAATGCAGATGGATCAATCTTAGTTCTTTTTTCGTTCAGCCTGCTGGCTAAAGGAAAAAAAACAGTCTATGGCCACCATTAGTTACATGGGTCGTAAAATAATTTTTGTCATGTTCTTACAGGTTTGAAGTGCTGAGCTTTCTCATGTTGTGCTACAACTCCGCTATTGTGTACATGCCACCTTCATCCTACCAGTCACTATGTAGAATGGGTTCTAGGTAAGTAGGAAAACCTAATCCTATAATAGGTGGGTCTGCCCAAAATATGAGTACCCACTGTCTGTGATTGAGCATCTAGTAGCTAGGAAAGAACACAGTAAACTAGAGGCTCAGTCTTTTCTGGAAACTTCGCATAGTCCATGAATTCCTTCTCTCTCCTTTGGCTTAATCCAAACTTAAAGGATTAGGTCACCCGTACAACAATAATAATAAACGCACATTTAGAAAGATGTGGGGTAAATGGTGTGAGTTTAAAACATCAGAAAAATATTTAAAAATGAAAGGTCCCCCGGTTGCAGAGTCAGAGAATTTAAAGGATTAAATGGATCTATATACATGATTAGACGAATAAGAGGGCAAAGAGATAAGACGAAACTGGACAGGGATTTTTGTACTGGGGGGGGGGGGGGGATTGGGAGGGAATGGGGTTAATGTGTATGGGTATGATGTAATAAGAATATATTGTTGTTTTGTAGTGTATTTTATAAAGAAAATTTAATAAAAGATATAATAACAAAAAAATAAATAAATGCGCATTTTTTTGCAGGTAAATAAGTATGTATTTATTATTATTATTATTTTTTTTTTTTTTTTTGTTAGGAGCCTGTAAAGCATTGCATCCATGGTCCTGCAGACTGTCTGTGTAGCTGGCCGCTCATATCTCCGCTGTGGGCAGGTATGAGGGCAGGTATACACAGTGACTAGAAACTCGCTGAACTACCTGGAGAGCTCAACAGCGCCCTGGTAGTTCATTGAGAACTGCAAGCTGACAGCCACAAAGGCTATCGGGACTTGTAGTTTGCCCATCCACGAGTGCAGGGGAAGAAGATCCCCTCCCGGCTAGCTGTTGGAAGGGGGGGGGACGGGGGGGGAACACGTTTTCTAGATATAAAATTGTGATAATGCAAACTGAAGAGCAGCACTGTGTAAATAGTTTGTTGTGCAGACAATAAATAGTACAAAATGTCAGCCAGAATCTATGCAATAATTGCTCTGAAGTGAACATGTGTAAACCCTACAATGTAAGTATCCATTTATTTATTTTTTTTTAAGTCCTCATGCACAAGTCCTCACAGCTACAGCCAGTAATCTCCCCAGCATGTTTTTCTATGTATCCATGCGCACATAGACTGTAATCAACGTTTTTTTGGCAGGGGTGTTTTTTGGCTGGAAAAAAAAACCCAGACCTGGTGGGTTTCTAGAGGAGTTTTTTAGCTGGAAAAACACACTCTAATACTAAAAACGTGGTAAATCATGGCAAACCAGCGTTTTTGCACCTTTTTTGACCCCCGCCTCCCCCCAACAAATTTTTTTTTATTTTTTGATAAAAAAAAACTCTAAAAAACGCAATCGTGAAGAAATGAGGCAAAACGCTGCGAAACACTAATACAAAAACGCTAAAACTCACATGTTTAATATGACTTTACACAGCTAATGTTAACAACATTATTAAAACGCTTAGTGTGCATGGAGCCTTAATGTCTTCTTTTTACAAAGCAACCATCTTTCACCTGAGCTTCAGTGTATAAAAGCACCAACAACAACTGGAATGTCACTCACCCCCCACCTAGCCTTCTTTTTACAAGAAAGGCATACAGCACTTTAAAGCGAAGTTCCTGCTGATTTAAAAAAAATAAATAAATCTTCTGCATGCTTAATGGTGCCCTAGATGGTGCACATTAAAGTTCAGCTCGCTCCTTGTAAAAGAACAAGATGCCCTCAAGATGGTGTAGCCACAGAAACATTCCTCCTTGACTGATGTTGAAACTGGATAAGGTCTCTTTAAAGCGGAGTTCCACCTGCAAAAAAAAAAAGTCAGCAGCTACAAAAACTGTAGCTACTGATTTTTAAACTACAGACCGTTACCTGTCCCTCGGTCAAGTGGTGTCCTCACCACGGCTGGTTTCACCAGCCGTTCTTCTCTCCCCTCACCCCACCGGCACCAGCATCTTCAGTATGGGCACCCGGCTGTGACAGCTTGCGGCTGCACAGCCAGGTGCCTACTGTGAATGTGTGAGTAGCACTGTGCTTTGTGAATAGCCCCGTAGTCTTCTGGGACCTGTCACGTGTCCCAGAATACTATGGGGAGGGAGGGGGCTGGATAATGTCCGCTTCTGATCGCCTTAGGCGATCGCAGTGGAAGTGAGAGTGGGTATCTGTCAAATTCGGGTACATTAAAGCAGAACTTCCCCTTTTGGTATAGTAAACAGGAATGGATTGTTTTACACTATTGAGTCTTGTTTTTCATGTTTACTGCTGTGGATTTTGAGGGCTTGATTGGCTGAGCTGGCAGTGAAGCCGATTGGAGGATTTCTGACAGCTGTGGTTCTAAAGTGCTGCCTGCCTTGTAAAAAGAAGGCTAGTTGGGGGGGGTGAGTGACTGTCCAGTTGTTGGTGGTGGCTATATACACTGAAGGATGGGTGATGGTTGCTTTGTAAAAAGAAGACATTAACCGCTTCCCGACCGCCCTATAGCAGAAATACTGCTACAGGGCGGCACGGTGCGCAAAATCACACACACACACACACACACACATATATATATATATATATATATATATATATATATATATATGTGATTTTTCATTTCCGGGTAGGGGGCGCGCATGCGCCCTACCAGTGCCACCATTTGCGGCTGTCAATCAGTGGGTCCCGGACGGTGATTACCCGCTGGCGCTGTTGACTACCAAGCATCTCCGACGGGTAGGACTGTTTTGTTTACGAACAGTTCTTCTCGTGCACATCCATCCAAAGCAGTGTGCTTACAGTGAAGCACACTGACACTGCCCCCTAGTAAAACACACCCAGCACACAGTTAACCCTTTGATCGCCCCTCATGTTAACCCCTTCCTGCCCAGTGCCATTAGTACAATGTCAGTGCTTTTTGTTTTTAGCACTGATCACTGTATTTGTGTCACTGGGGATGTCAGTGACACCAAGTCAGTTCCCCCCAGTGTCAGAACGTCCGCTGCAGTCCCACTATAAGTCGCTGATCGCCGCCGTTACTACAATGGGGAAAAAAATAAATTCCAGTATCTATACCACCATTTGTGAATGATATAACTTTCACGTGAACCAATTCATTTTTACGTATTGGGATTTTCTTTTAGCAAAGACATGGAGCAAAATACATTTTGGCCTAAATTTATGACGAAGTTAGATTTTTTAAAAATTTTTACTGGACATGTTTAATAGCAAAAATTCAAAAATATTGTTTTTCTCTCAAAATTGTCAGTCTTTCTTTTTTAATAGTGTGAAAAGCAAAAAATGCACAGGCGATCAAATACCACTGAAAGAAAGCTCAATTAGTAGAGAAAAAAACGACGTACATTTCATTTGGGTGCAGTGTTGCATGACCGTGCAATTGTCAGTTAAAATAACGCAGCACCGTAGCGCTAAAAATGGCCTGGTCAGGAAGGGGGGTAAATCCTCAGGAGGCCAAGTGGTTAAAAATGGGATTTTTTTGTGGATTTATCACATGGGATGTTTACTACAACTAAAAAGTTTGACACTTAGTTTTGCTACTTTTATTGTTTACACATGTTCATTTCACAGCAATTATTGCATAGATTCTGGCTGATATTTTGTACTATTGTCTGCACAACAAAGTATTTAGTCCTCATGCACAGTTTTTACAGCAGTTGTTTTTGGGTTTTGACATTTTTTCTACAGCCAGTAAACTCCCCAGCATGTTATCCTATGTGTCCATGCACACATAGACTGGAATCAAAGTTTTTTGACTGGGAAAAAAACCCCAGAACTAGTGGGTTTCTAGAGGAGATTTTTTTTGGTCAAATAAAACTCTAAAAACCACGCTCACGAAAAACCGCGGCGAAACGTTAATACAAAAACTCTAAAACATGCTTAACAACTCACGTTTCTAACCTGACTTTACACAGCTAATGTTACCAGCATTATTAAAATGCCCCGTGTGCATGGAGCCTCACGCAGCGCTGCTTTAAATTTTATATCACGTTGAGGGAGAAAAACATTGCAGCAGCAATGTATCTTGAATATTTATTTTTAATTTGTTAAAGGGATATTTGATTCATTTTTTTAGCATGGAGTTGGAGTGTTTACTATTGTCTCCAGATAGTTGACAACCACAAATTTTAGAATCCTTTAAATATAACAACAGTAAAACTTGGGACACTATGACACAGGTGCACAAATACTGAGGGAGCCAACGTATGAAACCGTTAAGATCCTGTCCTGTATTTATCCCATGTACTGTATATGTTTGAGTAAAAACCTTAACCAAGATGGATAACATGATTACTTTCAGATCATTGGTCGTGTAATGCTTGCCACATTTATTTGTTTGTAAATGGAAGTCAAACCTTTATTTAACCATTTCCATACAGGGCACTTTTACCCCCTTCCCTCCCACGCCATTTTTCAGGTCTCAGCGCTCTCACACTTTGAATGACAATTGCGCGGTCATACAACATTGTACCCAAACTAAAATGTTATCATTTTCTTCACACAACTAGAGCTTTCTTTTATTGGTATTTAATCACCACTGGGGTTTTTATTTTCTGCTAAATTAACAAAAAAAGACCGAAAATGTTGAAAAAAAAAAAACATGTTTTTATTTTGTTTCTGTTATAAAAGTTTGCAAATAAATAATTGTTCTTCATAAATTTAGGCCAAAATGTATTCTGCTACATGTCTTTGGTGAAAATAACCCAAATTAGGATGTATTTTTTAGTTTGTAGGAAAGTTATAGAGTTCACAAACTATGGGATATATCTGAAAATCAATCAATCCTGAAGTACTGACAGCCAATCTAATTTCTAAAGGTCCAAGAATGTCAGAATAGTACAGATCTCCCCCAAATGACCCCTTTTTGCAAAGTAGACAGTCCGACATACTTCATAAGAGGCATGGCGAGTTTTTTGAAGTTGTATTTGTTTTGTAATTTTTTGGTAAAATTAAAAAATTAAAAAAATTATTTTCAGTTTTTTTTTTACATACTGTCACCAGTGCTGTACAGGCGTCATCATATAACTGGCATGGCGGTGATCAGGGACACTGACTGGTGACAGTATGGAAAAAAAAAAAAAGAGTACATTTTTTTTATTATTTTTTTATTATTTTAAATTTGTTATTGAAATTTTTTTTCTTTTTTTTAAGATTTTTTTTTTTTCATATTTCACTTTGACCAAAGTAGTACAATGTTTACCATAGTAACACTGTACTACCTTGGGGAAGTGATCAGTATATATATATATATATTTTTTTTTACACAATTTGCATATAGCAAAGAATTACTTTGCTATAAACAAGCATTTACCTGAATGACATCAATTCATTCAGGGCTTTTTTTTTTTTTTTTCTTAGCTGTGATTTGGCCATGGCTAATCACATGACACAGCTGGGCTGTGATTGGCCCAGCTTGTGCATGTGATTGCTGTGACCATTCACAGCTAGGCACACTAGTATATAATGGATGGCATGAATGAAGCCATCCATTGTATACAACTGTCATGTGACCTGCTGTGATTGGTCACAGCAGGTCACATGGTACCGGCAACGGGGCTGGTACTCAGATCTGGTATCGGCCGTGTCCGAGGTACACGGCTGGTGACAGATCGCGCCACTGCGCAGCTCTGCAGGCGTGCAAACTGCGCATGCCCGGGAGGACGCCATATGGCATCCACCCGGAACACTGAGGGATTTTGCCGGCCGCCGTTCGGCGATTGGCCGGGCGGCAAGAGGTTAAGAAAAACTCAATAATATAGATTTTAAAAATGTGAACAGATATGACAGAAAACTGTTGACATACTTATCAACATGATGTTTTAAATACAACCAGGCAACTAACATGTTCAAAAGGAGGTCAGTAACGACAACCTATATGATTCTTTTATGTTCAGGCTTCCTTTAACTGATCCCTTCAGATGCAGGTAATGCTAGGGAGGGGCTAAATACAACACGTTAACTTGTGAGAAGTTTTAGGTGATGTTTATCACTCTTTAATATTTGTATTGAGAATTAATTTTTTGTGTTCTTTTCTGCAGATTGTGTGTTAGTGGCTTTCCTCGGCAGCATGAGAAGCGCTGGAAAGAGTTGTGTGGTCGTGTTGTGCTTGATCCTAGTTTCATGGTCCAACTACTCACTGGTGTCTATCATGCTATGTAAGACTTAAAATATACTGTTACGCTTATTAGGAATCCTTAAATTACTTTTAAAGGACAGTTAACACTTTTCAAAAATGCCATTGCTGACACTATATTTATGCATACCTTATATTTACTTCCTTTTGCAGGTGTGGCACATTCTACTTTTAAGGGGCTAAAAAACCTGTTCTGATTGGGCTACTTTCACTTAGCAATAGCAGTATGGTAAAATGACAGTCACATTTGATCCAGTGGTGTGAACTTGGACTAATGTGCTTATCCATAAAGATGTGCAGTTAACATTAATAACATCGAGTGCTTTAACTCCTACAATAATCAACATATTTTTGCACAAGTAGAATTGTATCAGCCAAGCCAATGACTGGCTCCCATGGGTCTCTATACTTTCATAAGGCACTATGTTACGCAGAAAGATCCTTGGGTTAAAGTATTTTTAATGGGCATGAAGTTTTTCAGTTCACTTTGAACCAGTAACATCATTGTGATTTCATATGCTAAAGTGGTCATTCATAAGATTGGAAGAAGGGAGAACTGAAGACGAACATCAGGAACTTGTCTAAGCTTGCTTTCCTTTCTATCCACTCTACTGCAAATACATGATTGAATGGCTGATTCTTTCTGTACCAGTGACGTGCTTTTTTTTTTTTTGTGTTAATGTTAGTATTTATTTTTTACTCTTCAGAATGCTCAGCTACCTATAAATAGAGCGTTAACAAAGCTATACACACTCTATAGCTTTATTTTTTTATACATTGAAATTCTGATCATATTTGTGTAACTATTTTTTAGTAAATAGTTCTTACTAAAGTACGGTATATACAATTAATTGCTGTGTCTTTGTACAGATACAATGGAGAATGGGATCTTGGGCAGGAGGTTCTTGATGATATCATCTATCGAGCCCAGCTGGAGCTCTACTCTCAGCCCCTATTGGTAAGTTATAAGTTTTGTGATTTACACTGTGTGCACAATGATTAGACAAGTTGTATTTTTGAGGATTCATTTCTTTATTGAACAACTACAGTGCTGTTGGTCAATCCAAAATGCTAATAAACCTAAAACCTGAATATTTAAGAAAGTTAAAGTGAGGTTTTGGCTTTCTTAGGAGAATAACTATGTGTGCACAATTATTGAGCAACTTTTAGTGCCCAGTCATACCAGTGTGATTTCAGGTGCGATTTGCGCATTGAAATCGCATCTAATGAATGTCAGTGTCTTTAACGTGCGATTTGCTGCAGCACGATTTCTAAAGTAGTTCTTACATTACTTTTTCTGCAGTTTTGTTGCAATTTTACATACATAGAATATAATGGAAATTGCACTGCAAATTGCAAGAAATTATTGAAAATCTTCACAAGTAGCAATAAGTTTTTAGAAATCGTACCTGAAATTGAATTGAAATTGCACACAAATCGCGCAATTTTAAATTGCAGCGGTGTAACCGGTGACTTAATGTGCAGAATTATTATTATGCAACTAAATGAAAAACTAAAATTTTCCCATCTCACTTGTTTATATTTCATCTGTTAAAGTGAGAATAATAAACAAACAACTCAAAATTTACACATAAACATTTCTGACATGTCAAAAAAAAAAGAAATCAGGGGTCGTTATAACCACCCTTCTTTTCAATAACAGTCATAAGCCTTCCATTCATGGAGTCTGTCAGTTTCTTGATCTGTCGACGATCAACTTTTTATGCAGCAGCAACCACAGCCTCCAAGACACTGTTCAGAGAGGTGTACTATTTTTCTTCACTGTAAATCTCCTGTTGTAAGAAGGGCCCACGTGTTCTCAATAGGGTTTAGGTCAGTGAGGAAGGGGAGCATGTAATTTTTCTTTTATCTTTAAGGCCTTTACTTGCTAGCCACGCAGTGGAGTACTTCGATGCATGCGATGGAGCATTGCCCTGCATAAATATCATGGTCTTCTTGAAAGATGCAGACTTTTTCCTGTACCATTGCTTGTAGAAAGTGTCTTCTAAAAACTGGCTGTAGATTAGGGAATTGATTTTGAGTCCATCTTCACCTTGTATGGAGGTGAAAAGGTCCAACTAGCTTATCTTTGATAATACCAGCCCATGGCAGTAGAATGCCTGTACCCCACCTTCACCTTGCTGGCATCTGAATCGAAGTGGAGCTCTCTGTGCTCTTTACTAATCGAGCCTTGGGCCCATCCATCTGGTGTGGACAAGTTGTGAGACTTTGAGTCAGTATCATCTTATCAGTCCATAAAACCTTTGACAAATCTGTCTTCAGAATTTTTTTTCGTCCAGCTTGACATTTCAACTTATGTGTTTTGTTCAGTGGTGGTAGGGATTCAACCTTCCTTACCTTTGCCATGTCTCTGAGCACTGAACACCTTGTGCTTCTGGACACTCCAGATAGGTTCAGTTCTGGAATATGAAGGCACTAGAGGATAATGGGTTCCTTGTAACTTCACGTTTGATTCTTCTCAAATCTTTGGCAGGTAATTTGCTTTGTTTTTCCTCAACATGTATTCTTGCAACACTGTTGACTATTTACAACAAAAAGCATTTGATGGCTCTATGATCATGATATCTTAGCAATTTTCAAGAGTGCTGCATCCCTCAGGATGAAAGACGTCTTACAATTTTTCAGACTTTTCATTGTCAGTTAAATTTCTTTTTTGGCCCATTTTGCCTGTGGAAAAGGGATTCAGCTTCCTTAATTTGCCATTGTTTTCTCTGAGCACTGAACACCTTGTGCTTCTGGACACTCCAGATAGTTTCAGTTCTGGAATATGAAAGCACTAGAGGATAATGGGTTCCTTGTAACTTTACGTTTGATTCTTCTCAATCTTTGAGGTAATTTGCTTTGTTTTTCCTCAACATGTATTCTTGCAACACTGTCCAACAAAACATTTGATGGTTCTATGATCATGATATCTTAGCAATTTCAAGAGTGCTGCATCCCTCTGAAAGACGTCTTCAATTTTTGACTTTTCATTGTCAGTTAAATCTCTTTTTTGGCCCATTTTGCCTGTGGAAAAGAAGCTGCCTAATAATTATACACACCTTGATATAGGGTGTTGATCTCCTTAGGTCACACCTTCCCTCATTACACGAATACACGTCACCTGATATGCTTAAATCCAATAAGCATTCCAGTTTATACAGCTTGGAGCAGGAAAATATGCATAAAAATAATGATTTGGTCAAAATACTCACTTGCCTAATGTTTGTGCACACAGTGTACTATGTTCTAGGTCAGCAATGGGCAAACTACGGCCCGCGGGCCGTATACGGCCCGGCGGACATTTTAATCCGGCCCGCGGAGCGTGATACATTGGCTGTCAGGATGTGTGTAGGCGGGGCAGCGTGATGAACGTGAGGGGAGCTAGGCTCCTCTCACAGTCCGCCCTGAAGACCAGAACGGCGCGGGAACACGGCGAGAGGAACTCGCGGAGCAAAGGTAAGTAAATTGACACAGGGGGGACTTGGCTTACTACTTGGGGGGGAATAGTACTATGGGGGATGAAATACTATATGAGGGATGAATTAATATGGGGGATGAATTAATATGGGGAATGAATTACTATAGGGGGGGTGAATTACTATAGGGGGGATGAATTACTATATGGGGAATGAATTACTATGAATGAATTACTATGGGGGATGAATTACTATATGGGGGATGAATTTACTATGGGGGGATGAATTACTATATGGGGGATGAATTACTATGGGGGATGAATTACTATATGGGGGATTTAATTACTATGCTTACTATGGGGGAATATTACTATACTTACTATGGATGACACATACACATCATTCATCTACTCTTGGTCCGGCCCCCGGGTCCAATATATGAACCCATTGCGGCCCTCAAGTCAAAAAGTTTGCCCACCCCTGTTCTAGGTCATAGTTTACAGTGAAGATGCAGTATGGTTCAGGCCTTGATCATTACCTGTTATGCAAGGTAGAAGATAAGTAGAAGTATTGTTGGCTGTCAGTCTATGTAAATGTTGTGGGCAATTCTTTTTCAAAGATGTTTTGCTATACTGGTCTTTTATCTGTGTTCAGGTTGCAAATGCTATGAAAAATTCATTGCCGTTTGATGCTCCTGACTCATCACAGCAAGGGCAAAAAGTATTGAAGGTTGAAGTGACTCCAACAGTCCCCCGTATCTCTCGAACAGCCATCACCACCGCCTCTATACGTAGACATCGCTGGAGGAGAGAAGGTAACGACAGTTATTAATGGATTCCTTACTGCTGCTTTGTTCTTTAATTCAGATATCTTACTTTTGGAAGGATGGAATGATTGAATTAAAAATGTTCTAACTAGAATCAAAAAGTGCGTAGCCCTAGTTGTATTTATTATGATAATTTGTTTGTGGTATGTTACTTTGAACATTAAGGTGTAGATTGTTCTTGAACCCCTTTTCAAAGGTTTTTCTTGACATTTTTGATTTATGAATATATGGTTGAAACTCGTTTAACCCTTTCACTACCACCAGCATAGGGCATAAATCTGAGCTCCAGTAGCTCCAGTGGAGGGCATGTGAAATGGCTCATTAGAGAGAACCTGTCCCAAAAATAAGTATCACATGTGGTGAAAAAGAAAATGAGTGAAACAACATAGTGTAAAAAGTAAACTTTCATTAAGTTATTCAAGCTTCTAAAACCGCCCTACCCACCAAAAATGTTGAGCCCGCCCCCACTTACATACACATATGAACATAAATACACACATTAAGGATGCCTACATAAGAAAATGTTGATTTCGTTGAACATGATAAATATCACCACGCACGCCAGTAAGTAAAAGCACTAATTCTACACCCATTAATCATGGGTAACCCTAAACTGATGACCTGTAGGGGCTTTTAAACCATTGCCTATGGAAATTTCAGGGTGCTGAATTTTTGTCGCTGTTTCATGGGTGTATGCGATTTAAAGGCTTGACATGTTGGTACCTGTTTACTTGGTGCAACCTCATCTTTTATATTTTACCAAAAAATTGTGTGCCCTAAAATTAACTTTTGTGTATTTTATTACTGGAATTGTTCCATTTTATAAACCATTGCGTTGATATCATGTGACATAAAAAATTGGAATTACCACCATTTTATTCTCCAAGGTCTCTGCTTTTAGAAAATACATTGTGTGTTGTCTTTTTCTAGTGTAGTTAAAGTGGAATTGCAGTCTAGAACGAACTATGCTTAAAACTGCTTCCACCCCTCCCCCCATTTTAACACCTGCACTAACAAACCTGTTGAAGTAGATGCATATACAGTGCCTTGAAAAAGTATTCATACCCCTTGTCATTTCCCACATTTTGTCATGTTACAACCAAAAACATAAATGTATTTTATTGGGATTTTATGTGATAGACCAACACAAAGTTGCACATAATTGTGAAGTGGAAGGAAAATGATAAATGGTTTTCAAAATTTTTTTACAAATATCTGAAAAGTGTGACGCACATTCGTATTCAGCCCCCTTTACTCTGATACCCCTAACTAAAATCTAGTGGAACCAATTTCCTTCAGAAGTCACCTAATTAGTAAATAGAGTCCACCTGTATGTAATTTAATCTCAGTGTAAATTCAGCTGTTCTGTGCAGCCCTCAGAGGTTTGTTAGAGAACATTGGTGAACAAACAGCATCATGAAGGCCAAAGAACACACCAGGCAGGTCAGGGATAAAATTTTGGCGAACTTTAAAGCAGGGTTCGGTTATAAAAAAAATATCCCAAGCTTTGAATATCTCACAGAGCACTGTTCAATCCATCATCCAAAAATGGAAAGAGTATGGCACAACTCAAATCAACCAAGACATGACCGTCCACCTAAACTGAAAGGCCTGGCAAAGAGAGCATTATTCAGAGAAGCAGCCAAGAGGCTCAAGGTAACTCTGGGGGAGGTGCAGAGATCCACAGCTCAGGTGGGAGAATCTGTCCACAGGACAACTATTAGTTGTGCACTCCATAATTCTGGCCTTTATGAAAGAGTGGCAAGAAGAAAGCCATTGTTGAAAGAAAGCCAAAGGAAATCCTGTTTGCAGTTTGCGAGAAAGCCCGTGGAAGACACAGCAGACAGGTGGAAGAAAGTGCTCTGGTCAGATGAGAAGGAAATTGAACTTTGTGGCCTAAAAGCAAAACGCTATGTGCATTGTGAAACTAACACTGCACATAACCCTGAACACACCATCTCCACCATGAAACCTGGTGGTGGTAGCATCATGTTATGGGGATGCTTTTCTTCAACAGGGACAGGGAAGCTGGTCAGAGTTGATGGGAGTATCAATGGAGCCAAATACAGGGCAATCTTAGAAGAAAACATGTTGCAAAAGACTTGAGACTGGGACGGAGGTTCAACTTCCAAAAGGACAACGAGTCTAAACATTCAGCCTGAGCTACAATGGAATGGTTTAGATCAAAACATATTAATATGTTAGAATGGCCCATTCAAAGTCCAGACCTAAATCCATTTAAGAATCTGTGGCAAGACTTGAAAATTGCTGTTCACAGACTCTGCATCCAATCTGACAGAGCTTGAGCTATTTTGCAAAGAAGAATGCAAAAATTTCACTCTCTGGTTTTGCAAAGCTGGTAGAGACATCCCCAAAAAGACTTGCAGCTGTAATTGCAGCGAAAGATGGTTCTACAAAGTATTGACTCGGGGGCTGAATACAAATGCACACCACACTTTTCAGATATTTAGTTGTAAAAAATGTTGAAAACCATTTATCATTTTCCTTTCACTTCAAAATTATGTGAACATTTGTGTTGGTCTATCACATAAAATCCCAATAACATACATTTACGTTTTTGGTTGTAACATGACAAAATGTGGAAAATTTCAAGGGGTATGAATACTTTTTCAAGGCACTGCACATGCATATTCTCTGGGCGCTACGGTTTGACGATGTGATCGGCTCCCAGCAGCTGTCTTCAGGGGAGAGGAGGGACAGCTGGCAATGGATGCTCAATGTTAAGCCTAAGGGTGATGTCACTGCCCAGGCATCCAATTCGTTGTCAGCGCTCTCTCCTCTTCCCTGAAGTGGGCCACTGGGGAGATCATGTGACTAGAGCGCAGAATGGGTGAAATTTTTCTTTTACAAGCTTATTAGAAGGCGCAGTTTTAAGCTTAGTTTTAGGCTTGAATTCTACTTTAACAATGGGATGATACATACTGTAAATGAAGCTTAAGAGAATAACACTCAAAGGGCAAAGATTGGAGTATATTAGTAGCCCATGTTACTTATTTGCTGAGATCTTTTTTACTGTCACATTAGCCTATACAGATTGTCGGCAGGACTAAGGTATTCTTTAACTCTTTACTCTAGAAAGGCAAAAAAGTAAGAGGGCAGAGAGTGCAAAAATCTACATTTTTACTTCATCTACTGTTCTGGGAACAAAATTCAAAACAATTAAATTTACTGCTTAGAGTATGTGTAAGAGAAAGACGTACACACATGTTGCTTGTGTTCACATACTTTTAATTCAACTGGTTACTTTCTGCAGAGTTTAATCACGTCAAGTTATATTTCAAAAGTTTACTGCGCAAACAATCAAGTGTGAAATGTCTTCTGTATTTTGATACTGCTAGTATAGCAGTAACAACTGGAAATCTGGCTTTATAGCAGCTTCCTACTGCGCAGCAAAATTCTAAATAAAGCTGGCCATATATTATACTGTTTTTTTCTTTTACAATTTTTCTTTAGATTTACCAAAAACCATATAATATGAAGTCAAACCTAAACAACACTTTCATTTTGTATCCAATCAGGCAAGCCCTTGCACTACATAGTTGAAGGTAAATCTGAAGGAGATAGTACAGAAATTGTTCAAGAAAATTGTATAATGTATGGCCAGCCTAAGATATCAGTCTAAATCAGCCCATAGATGATGCGATTTTCTTTCCTTCTTCTTGCAGCGCTGTTGTATTCTGACAGCAGAGGGGTTGGAGCGGATAGCCTTCCAGGTCTGCAGAGTACAGTGGTTGTCTGACACAGATTAGTCCTCAGCTTCAGCCTCTCAAATTGTGATTTTCAAAAGTTATTATGCTACTGTCAAATTACTTTGATAAGGAAAAAAAAAAAGCTTCCTGCCTGCAGCAAACTGATAACGTCATCTTCGCCTAGGCACAGTCACTTGGCCTTTTATTTATTTTCTAGTTATTACAGGTACTTACGTAGCGCCATCAATTTACGCAGCGCTTTACATATATATTTTGCATGCACGTCAGTCCATAACCCTCAAGGGGTGTACAATCTAAGGTCCCTAACTCACATTCATACATACACATACTAGGGCCAATTTAGACAGGATCCATGTCTTTGAAGTGTGGGAGGAAACCCACGCAGGCACAGGGAGAACATGGCAAACTCCAGCCAGTTGGTGCCATGGTTGGGATTAGAACAAATGACCTTAGTACTGCCAAGCGGAAGTGCTAACCATTTAGCCACTCTGCTGGCTTTTGTTTATAAAAACTAATTTTTAAAGATGAAAGATAGATTTATTTAAAATTATATTGTTGTTGTATGTGTTAAAGTGTTTGGAATTTATTGATGCAGACTTGTGAAGTTACAGTTGGATCCACCTGAAGTTTCTTTTGCCTGTTCCTGTGCTTTACCTGAAATCACTTTTTGGAGACCTTATTGATACTTGTTTTTACATGCCTTCCTGTTGTTTAGGGCATTTTGAATAGGGTGCATTTGTTTAATGGCTTAGTTGCACTTGCAAACTGATGCACTTTGTGAAATGCATCCTTTGCTGGCCAGTGTCTAGATGTGCGTTACGTGCATAACCAATGTAATTTATCTTTAAAGTAGGTTTAGGCTGTAATACATATTCAAGGTGCATCAGGATAGCAGCACCTCTCCACATACAGTGTCCATTAACTGTGTATAACCTGTACTGTATATCCTCTCACTTCCTATAGATACTTCTTTCAGCTCTCAGTGTTAAGGCTAGAAGTGCCTTATTTTGGATCCAGGGGTGAACTGACAACTCATGGGGCCCCCGGGCAATAGGGGATCATGGGGCCCCTGTGTCCTTGCCCACACCACACTCAAAGCACATTCAAAAAAGCCCATAAAAGGTACAAGGGACATTTCATGGGGACTCCTACTGACCCCGGGCCCTCGGGCAGTGCCCCGGTGCTCGAATGGTCAGTCCGCCCCTGTTTGGATCCTTTGGGCAACTGATAACTAAGGCAGCAAATCCCAATTGTGCT